ATCTCAATCATAAAAATTTTAAGCTGTAATTAGAGCTGGAAAAATCAGAACCTGAAACTGAGAACCTGAAACTGAGAATTTGTGACTTGTTTTCAAAAGACTGATCTGAAAATTTCAAAGCAGTAGACTTTTAATTATTGCTTAAAATACAGCTCTATTAAAGCAGTCATATGACCCCTTATGATAATTTTATAAGCTTCTAAATTTTTATAGCTAGAAAGTTTTCAAAAGTTCTACAATATTTAGGTGTTCCTATTTTTACAGAGTAAAAAGATCTTTGTGACTACATTTCTAATATAAAAATAGATTAAGAATTCTTAGTATTCTATTTATTCATTGTAGGGTTTTTCTAAACTAAAATGCTCAGAACTTGTTATAAGAATCACTTGTTTATATCTCATTATTAAATGACAGATATATTCAATACTGAACTGAGCACATTCTATTGACTGCTCTGCAATAAAGGATAAAACAAATTGAGTACTTATTCTTTTATACTTAGGCTCCTTTTCATAAAAATGAGTTATAAAACTTGTTTACAACTATACATTCAAGATATTGGAAAGACTTGGAATGCAAAAACGTCGCAAATGTTTTAAATGTTTTTTAGAAAAATATGAACTGTTATTCTCTAGGCAATCATTCAGGTTTCATGTTTTATTTTTATTTTCATTATATTAATATTAAACATCCAATATATGCTCCAATATGAATGTTTTATATTGATATCCTCATAGGATTAGTCTCATTTCTATCCACCTCTAATTTCTAACATATCTTTTTCTCTTTTCACATTTACCTGTCCAATAATTTTGATGTGCAACCTAAAAGTGTAACAGTTCTTATTGATTTATGCCTCCTACTGTGCTTGATGTTTTTCCTAATAATGTTTATCACATGAATAAATGTTTTTGTGTATTACACTTAAAACACTGTCAAAAACACTAAAAACTGATAGATTCCTCTTATTTGTGCTTTTCAGTGTTGTAGTCCATTTCCTGATGGAGCAAATGGCATCTTAGGTACTACTAACACCTTCTGACTAGACTCCATTCTACCTCTTCCCTGGTGGCATTTATTGTAGTTCATAGCAGGCTGTTTACAAACAACATTGACTACTGTGGCCAGATCATCTTGGAGTGAATCTGTGCATGCTCAGCTTTACCTAGGGAAGTGACTTAAGACAGAAGATAACTGGCACAGGCAGTGAACTGTATACATGGAGATTTAAAGCAGGGCAGAACCAGCATAGATATCCTCAGCCGGTGTTCAGTATTCCACTTTTCCCTAGCCTCAAGGAATGTTCTTGTATACAAAGAGGAATGACAAGATTTTCTCACACCATTTTTCTCTTTAAAGCTAACTCTCTAACTCCCTATTATCTATAATTTAGATAAAAATATTAGCCTTGTCTTACTGAGGAGTGATGCTTTAAAAGTTCATTAGCAAGTTTATTTAAAATTCAAAGCAAGATTTTCTAGGGAAATTTCTCAAATTCAGGCCACAAAAAAAAAAGTCAGTTTCAATCAGCATTCAACAGAGTTGTGCAGTTTTTTTTTTTAAAGAAACAGTGAAGAACTAGTGAACATTGATTGTGTTCAAGAGTGTTGTGCATAGAAGGTCACTGCAGGGATGGAATGATTCAAACTCATGGTCTTTGTTTCTTTTATCTGAAGAACAGAGAGATTTGGGAAAATTAAGTATAGCACAGTGACATCATGTTATAGGATGGTGAGTCAAAGTATTATGAGAATTCAAAATCAACAAAACAAAGCAAAACTCTTATTTTGAAAACAAATGAAACAAAGGGGTAGCAGCCAACAGTAAGGAGTTAAATGCAGAAAGGGACAAAGGCGTGAGAATTCATGAAGTTCGGTTAAACCGAGAGTCAGCACCTCTGCAAAGAACCAAAAGGTGAACATTTTAAACTTTTTTGGTCACATGTCTTTGTTAAAGTGCTTAAATAAAACTGTTTTAGTGCAAAAGCAGTCATGTACAATATATGAATATGAACCTATTTCAGTAAAAGTTTATGCATAGATAATACAATTTAAATTTTATACAATTCTCACATCAGAAAATATTTTTTCAATGATTCATAAATATAAATCTACCTTTTCTTTTGCACACGCAAAAGTTGCTGACTCCTGCATAGATAGGCCCAAATTAAAAATTTTTTACAGTGATTCATGCAATAACATTATTGTATACCTAGTAAAATTATATGTATTTTGAAAGAATAATGGTATAAAAATTTTCATGATGTATAGAAAAATTGATTTATAAAATATGAATCCTATAATCCTTCTCTAGGTTCACAATATATACTGTACAAGGTAAACTGCTGACATTTGATAACCAGGGTGTTGGGATCATGAATGCATCTTATTTTCCATTTTCTAGAATGAACATATATTAACTTTTCCTTCTTTCTTGTTAGCTCAATATATTTTGATGAAGAAGCATTGTAGAGGGTACACATCTTACAATGATAATTCTGCCATCATGCTGAAGTGATAGATTATGAAAAATAATGCCTAGGTATTGAGAGATACATTAGCAGACTAGCTGACAGTTTGAAAAGATGCAATGTACATAAATGAAGATGGCAGCATTAGAAACAGAAAAGTAATGGAGACCAAATTAAATTAAACAATGTAACCAGGACCAAGATACGGAATAGAGAAGGATGTGGGATGAGTATAAAATGACTCCAAGACTTCTGCTGAGTATGTCTTCTGTCGAGTATGAGGATGACACTGTCTTAGGGAATGGAGCTAAGGGAAGAGAAACAGTTTTGGAGGCAGAGATGATGTTCGGACATATTGAGGGTAAGCTGTTAATGTAGCATGCATGTATGGTTCTGGATCTCAAGAGAAAGATCAGGATTTCATAAGTATATTTGAGACTGAGAATTAATTTAAGAGAAAAAAGATACAAGTATCATGCTATAAAATTCAGGATATAAAGTTTCATCTAAAATGTCAGAACAATCGGGCTAAGTGAACTCTGGATTTGGTCACTGGGAGTACTAGAGACTATATCAGAGCATGTTTATTCTTTTTGTTCTCATACTTTTAGATGTATGAACTAGTAAAACGTAAGTGATGTATGGTTTGTTTTGGGATTTACTTATTTTGAATGAATTATTCCATCTGTTGCTGATGTTTTAAAAGATCAGAATATACATAATACTCTCAAAGGAATGCATTTTTTCCAATTATGAATTGTTTAAATACTCCACTGCGATCTTCTGAGGGACAGAATTTTCTTGTGCACTATTCTTACTTCACATTCTCAAAATGATGAAGAAATCAGGGCAATGTCATGGTTACATGAAGTCACTCGGTCTCACATAAAGAAATCACTTATATGGCTAAGGGGCAGCTGCTCAGATTTTATTTTGGTGCCGCCCTACCCCCCCCAAAAAAGAGAGAAATGGGAAAGAAGGCCTAGCTTAAACACAGCTAGGCTGTGGGCTGAATTTTCACTCTAGTTTCACTGCCCTTGTGGCTAAGAGGAGTCCCTTATTCAATCAAGATTTTCTTTAGCCTTTATATTCATGTTAAACAGGAATGAGAGGGACAAGTATATTATGGTTGCTAGCCAGGTATCTTTAGCCAGAAGTCCTGAGGCTATTTCTCTCATAAAAGAAGATTACTCAACCAAGTAAAGTCTCCAAAGTCTGAAACAAATGGTCATTTTTAAAGGTCTAAAGAAATTCAATCCTTTATTATGAATGAGAAAAAAGATCTCTGGGAACAGAAACTTCTCTGTATCTGTAGTTACCTACAGTAATAGCTGTCCAGCCCTACTACTGTTAAGGCCAGCATGCTACATGGCCAGCACAGACAGCCACACATGGTTAAGGGTTTTGATGACATGACTAGTAATAATTAGAAATAGTCAGAAACACAGATACAGGGTCTGGGGTAAAAAGAACAAAAGAACAAAAAAGCTGGTATGCGAGGTTATAAAGAACGAAGAACACATTTGGACCACAGGAGCTTCTCATATCTTCCCTGCTTTGGATAGATGACTGAATGCTGTCCAAAATCTGTCCTCCCACAGTGGAAATGACCCTCTAGAGATCTCAGACTCAGCATGGATGTTCCCTAGACTTGAAGGTTAGGATAAGCAGAGCAAAAGTAAAAGTCAAGCTTCTGCACTTTCTCTACAAAATTAAAGTCCCTATAATTTATTCCTGAAATTATCAACTGTTGATTTAAAAAGAAGTTCTCAATAAATTATCTGCTTGGAAGACTTGTGCTTTATTAATATGATAGTTATATTGTTAGTGAGAAAAAGGATTACACTACATTTTTCCTCCAATTTCCAACAATTATTTACTTCTCTAAAGTGGTCAGAAGGTAAAAAAGAAATTATGCTTAAGGTAGATGGCCTATATTTGTATGAATATTATTATATAAAAATACATTGTTTGCCAAATGGTTTATTCCAGGTGTCAAAAGCTGTTGGTGATTTATGCTGAGGACTTGTCCTGGAAAACAGCTTAAGACTGTGCAATGGGATTTCATAATTATCTTACATTTCTAAAACAGTAGTTTACCATAAATTTTCATACTTATGATAAATATTACGGTCTTTATTTTAAAGATGAGGAAAACTGAGGCTCAGAGAAGATTAAAAGACTTGCCTGAAGTTATAGAGTTTTTAAGTGCCATGGTCCAAATCACATCTTCTCACTCAAAGTCCAGATCACTTTCCAATACACCACAATGAAATACAATAATATGGAAAAAATAATCCTTAAGATTCAATTTCCATTTGTACAGTTTTATTACAAGATTTAGCACTGTATTCTCTATTTAGAAAAGGGGATAAACAATGTTGCCTTTTCTCTAAATCACATCTAAAAATCTTTAGATCTTTATGCCATTCTCTAAAGTTGGGACTCAACACGAGAGAGACAACACCAAATTCTTGTCAATGACATGTATTGAGAACTATCACCAGAATGTTTATATATTATTTTTCTATTTTTACAGTTCAAGTTTGTGTTATTTTCCCTACAGATGAAAGATGTATATCTAAGATGTACAAGTGAATATGGTATTGCTATACACTGTACATCCTGGGATATTCTGTCTTATGTGCTTGTTCACCATCATACTTTCTAAAGTACCCCTTTCATTTCTAGTTTCTCTATTTTACTTTTCCTTACTGAATGTCATTCCATTTTTTATTGCTATTAATCATTTTTCAAAATAATCAAACATATCACGAAATACAAGTATAAGACAATGGAAGACACTTTATCCATTTCTATACTCATCTAATATATATATCTACTTTTAATTTGATGGCAGCCAGCTCAGAATCAGATTTCTGGAATAACTATCTTTCTACACATGCCATTAGCTGTGTAGAACAACCCGACAACTCCAGGGTTTGCCACTGGACATGGATTACATTTTCTAGGCTTGTGTAATGTGGCAAACTAGTACACTTCATTTTTTTCCAACAGTTCCCCTGCATTTACCGCTAGTAGATAAGAAATGTTTTTGAGCACACAGATTCAATTAACAAGTATATGATGAGCACCTACTATGTGCATTGCACTTTGTAGATATAAAAGGTATATTTGTTAAGGACCTTTACCCAAGTATATTACAGTCTTCTACAAGGAAACAAATTAAACATATTAAACAATTGTATATGAAGACTTAATGAAAAATACAATGCAATAAATTGATACTGAATAATTAAGTGCTAACATGACTGTTACACATGAAGTTAGCTAAAGTAATTAATTTGAATTGCGAACTCACTGTATTTCAGTGACTACAAAGTTATCCCCATAAAATTCTGAAGTTTATAGAGGATGAAACAGGCTTAATAAAGTTAAATATGTTGGTAAAAGATATAGAAGTAACAGACAACTCTTAACAACTGAGTCTGTCTTCACTACTTTAGAGCTGATGAAAAAACTAACTCTAAGTCACAGTGAGAAGACTGAAGAGTCAAATCCAGATTTATCTAACTGCAGAGTCACAGTTCTCAGCTATTTAATATAAAAAAATTAAACCCCAAACTGGAATGCATGACTTCTGCTTTAATTACTGATATTTTCCCATTATATTTACATCATGCTTTTTTTTTTTTTTTACATCATGCTATCTTATAAGACAGTTAAAGAAATTGTAGAGACGGGAGGAATCAAAATGATAGAATACAGAATGTTTCATGTTATTCCCTTCTAAAACAGACTTGATTGCCATAGATGTTTCCATAAAAGTCTTCTGAAGCAATTTTTGAGTCACAGATGCCCGTGGAAAATGCTGAGAAGGTAATTACCCATAAGTGAAGACTATTGTGTTCCTGCTAGCACTTCGTTCTTCCTAGAAATTGGGGAAGAACTAAAGTTAATTTTTATTTGATATATAAAATGAATTCAGTATTATCACTGGAATAAAATTTCTTCTGAAGTATGACTCAGAAGGTAATTAAATCAAATTCAAAAGAAGCCTCTAAGTTCACTGCTAGTTTTAAGGGACCCTAGAGTCCAATTAACTTCATCAAAGAGTTCAGGGAAAATCTGTTCTTTACTCAACAGAATTATGCAAATATAAAACAAAGCTATTTAAAGTTCAGTGTAAAGGAAAAAAAAAACCTGTTTAGAGAAAAGTAAATTAAGTATACATGAATTTAAAATATTTATATCAGAATTAATGATAATAATTAGCATCAAACATTTATTGAATAATTAAAATTAGGTACCAGACAATGTGCTATGTGATTTACGTGCATTCTCTCATGTTACTAGAATGAGGCACATAAAATCATCTCCACTTACAAATGAGAAAACCTAGAGTTAGAAAAGTTAAGTAATTTGCACAAAGTCACATAATAAGCAGACTGGGGGTTCAAAGAAAGTTTGCTTATTGAAACTCAGAAGACAATCTGGGAGAATTTAGTAACAGTACGAAATAGGCTGATATTGTAGAAGACACCATTAATACACTAGGGAAAGACTGAAGGAAATATGATAAATATTTTAAGATTTTATGCTCTTAGTAGGTACATATATTAAGACAATGAAAATACTAATTTTGAAGGTACTGTGAAATAGTGAAAATGTATCACAGGCATATAAATATTGAGGGTTTTACAAGGTGAAAGATTAAAGCTAAAGTAAAAACATGATAAGGAAGAATCTTTCTATATGGAATAAATTAAAGGATGCAGATTATGCAGAATTTGAAATTTTGAAGAAAAAATAAAATTAGTTTAAAGATGATTTTGACATGATGTTATGTATAAAGACAATTATGGATACAGTTGTGTTTCAGATTTGCAAAAAAGTTGTAATTCACAAAATATCAAAAAGAAGTTATTGAAGTCTATAAATGGCAGAACACAGTGACATAATACCTAGGAAAGTAATGTGATGTTGAAAATTGAAGCCAATGGCTACAGGTGATTTTTAAAAAGTATTAGACAAAGTTAGGTTCAAATCTGCATTTTCACTGAGGGATATCTTGAGTTGTATCCCAAATACAGGAATTATCTAAAGTATACAGAAGTGAAAAGTTTTCCCTTGTAGCTCACCTCTTGTTTAATAATATTTAATATGTATAGTTGGTAAGGTCATGGACATGGTCTTGGTTGAGAAGCTATTTTTATTTCCTGTTGTAAGCCTCATTCAATGTACTTCTGTTATAAGTAGTTGGCTTGGTTTAGCTCTTGGTCCCTAGGGTTTATGATTTTGTATTTCAAGATCCATATTCTTTGAAAATGGACATCTACAAATGTTCTTTCACGTATATTTACCAGATGAATGGATAAAGGAGATGCAGTATTTATGCACAATGGAGTATTACACTACTATAAAGAAAGATTAAGTGATTGAGATTAAGACTGAGTCATTTGTAGGAAAACAGATGCGCCTTGGGACCATAATGTTAAGTAAAATAAATCAGATACACAAGCTTAAATATTCATGGTTTCTCTTATATAAGAAACCTAAAGATGTACAAAGAGCAAAATACAAGATATACAATAGGAAGTAGGGAGACAGATCTTTCTGAAAAGGAAAGGGGGTCAAGAAATGGAAGGAGGGAGAAAAGAAAAGGGGATGAACAAAGGAATTATGATGTGTTATGTAATGTACCAACTTTACACAAGGAATGTAAACATTATGTACTACAAACATGTAGTAAAAAGAAAATCATCTGAAAAAACAAACAAACAAATGAAAAAACAAGTACTCAGCATCAGGACATGCCTTCTAGAATGTGTTGTGGAGTTTCCTCTTCCTAGAATGATGGTTTCTTGCATTTCACTAACTTATTTCATACAAACTACCTTTAGCTACTATGTGGGATTTGTATTTATCTATCTATCTATCTATCTATCTATTTTTTTATTTATTGGTACTGGGGATCAAACTAGGGACCTTGCAGTTGCGAGGCAGGTGGCCGAACCACTGAGCTAAATCCCCGGACTGGGTTTGTTTCTATTTTTAAATAAAGTAATATAATGCTGGTTTCACAAATAAAGCTTCTGGGAATACATGTGTTCCTTAACTATGTGGTGCTATGTTTATAGTCAACTAATCTCTCACAGAATAATTAAACCAGAAAAGATTTTTTTCCTTATTAACATCTCATCTTTCAACTAGTCCCAGAATAATTTCCCTTTTTCCCCTTTCTGCTGTTGCTTTTGCCACCACCTTTGCTCTTTCTCCAGTTAACCAACTATTCTGATATATGTATTCACCTGTAGTGTCAAGTTTTTGGAATTTAGTTCAGAATTTGTCCAGATCTGTGGTATATACTCTTTGTAGTTTTAGTAACACTTGTTTATGATGTTTACCTTATATTTATTACCATAATTATTTATAGAAGAACTGATAACATTTCTGAGCAGAAAAAAGAAAAATGAAAGATTATTTAGAAGAAGAATGAAGCAATGGAATAAAAATAAGACCCAAAGTATTGTATATCCTTACTTAGGCAACATTAGCATATATAGGCATACTGGATAATAAAAGAAAGCAAGTTTTTAAGTGTAAAACTGGTGGTTTTGTTCATAACGCTCCCCTACACTGTAATGATGGGGACATACATCTTATGCAAACTTGAAACAAAAAAAACCAATTTGAGTCTCAATAAACACAGGAGAGATATCTTTGCATGCTGTAAGGATTTATGGAAGCCTAATGAACAATTTGCTGCTATGTCCATAAAAAAGACAGAATGCAGAGAAATACATACACATATAAGTTCTCAGCACAAGTGAAGAGAAATACTAGAAGATTATATGGGAAGTGATAATTAAATTAGAGAAGTAATTTAAAATTTGACAGGATAGTTGGATAATTGAGTCATGCAATTCAAATAAGAGAAATAATAGAAATCTTGGTAAAAATTTGAAGCAGTAGTATATTATAAAGAAATAGAAGGAAAATTTAAAAAGGAACATTATCCCATCATATAAAATATAATAGTTTTCATTCAGTAAATAACTTATTTTTATTTCATTTAACAAACTAATTTGTCAGAGATATTAGTTCTTCTCTCTCATTTTGTTTCATTTCATGTACGTCATTGTAAAATTTCTTTTAACATTTAAGGAAAAAAATAAAACAAGTTTTTATAACTTCCTCAAGGAAGGACTCTTCTTCTATCTTACTCCTGAGCTATTCAGGCTCACAAAGGAGCTGGAGGGAACAGACAGCAAGTTATTAGTTTGATGTTAAACAGCTAATTGTCAATATTTTTCTTAGATGCTTCAACTATCATATTATTGAAGTCACTGTACATTTGACTTTGTATGTTATTTTTGACTCTTGTTCTGGGACAATTTTTTACTTTTGGGAATATAAGAAATTAGATGATCTATACAAAACATGGCATAGGAGAGGTCAAACAGACCTGGTCATCTGAAGCTCTGCTTCTGCCTCTAACTAGAGATACTCTACAGTTTGAATTAGAGAATTATCCTAAAATTCATCCAAAGCAGTAAGAAAAAAATTTCCTTGTGTGTTTTCCTCTTGTCTAATTAGTACTTTTTCAGATAGAAATATGTACATTATTGAGAAAAACATGCTAAGTTTATCAAGTCAGAGCTGTAGACTCATTATTGCCCAGAAACTACACATATACTTTTCTTTCCACTTGTCTCTTGACATCTTAGGATTCTCTGCTCATGAAATACCCTTAGCTTCTCTTCTCTGTCTGAAGGCTATCCTTCACACAGAGCAGCCTAGCTCAGGTATTCTGCTGGAGTCTTCCTCTCTTATTCAAACCCACAGAGATCATTCTCACCTAAAAATTATTTCCTTACAGCAGACTTCCATTAGCTTTTGATACCCAGTTTCATGGGCATACTTTCCTTTTCCAAAGAACTTAACAGTACTTCATAAAAAATGTTTTTTAGCAACTCAAATAAAATAATTGAAACTGAAAGGCAATTATGAAATCATTTAGCACATAGTTCTTTAAAATTGGTTCATCAGAATTATCTGGGGAAATCCTGAACTGATTTGATTCCTAAGACCCACACTTGAATCTAATTCAATAGGATGTGGCATAATACTTTCATGTTTTAAAAGTTCCCTTCAAGAATTAGACGGGAAACCAAGGAAGAAATATGATTTACTCCACCTTATTACATAAAATGAAATCTCAGAGAAGTGACTTGCCAATGTATGAAGCTAATTAAGTCAGAGCACAAGATGAGATCCCAGATGTCTGAAACTTTATTCTAAAGAGATTACTAAAGCAACTCAGAAATCTCTTGCTCCATTTAACTGTGGAGGCTGTTTGTGTATCATTTTGAGAGCAGTTAAATCCAAAGTATTAATAAGGAAGAACCTCCACATTTTGGATATATATATATCCGCTTTCTAATTATATGGATTTTTTTCTACAGTTGCTCTAAAATAATTCTCAGTGATCTATTTCTGGATCAGGCAATGTTAAATCAAAATTCTTTGGATTTTCCTTAAATTTATTGCACAATTTGAGTTATCTTGTATCCCATTTTAAGACTGTTAGTTTTTAATTCATAATGGAAAACTGACTTGGCCAATGAATATTCTCCCCATTTATCAGAGATAGTACTGAGGTAACTCCTTTTGTCCCTCACTTTCTTAATCTTTTACCAAACTTTTATTATAATTTTCCTGTGCAAGGTAAATTGCTGAATTCCTAAGCCCACAGGACTCAATCTAGGATAGGCAATACAGCAACTAATAGGATACTAAGTATTATATGATAGGATATATAGACACAAACTCCCCTCAGTGTATTCAAGTGCAGGGTAGGAGAGACTAATTCCTTTGTGGAGTTGGGGAAGATTTGCCAGAGGGGCAACTAGAGTTGGTTCTGAGCAGGTATTTGCTTTCGGGGAAAGGATAATCCAGATAGGACATTAAGTGCAAAGACAAGATTTGTAAATGTCTGGATTATTCAGGTAACATGTGGAGTTTAGCGAACCTAGAGCAAAGGCAGCACAGGTAAACTTTCATTTGCCCAATTTCAATTGCTGAATTATATATTAATGGATTTCAATAAGAGTAATAAAGGATGGAATCTGGCTATTTTTAAACTTTACTACATTCCAAGTTCTTGCTATTAGTCTTAGTTACAGAAGCTATTTTAAGGTCTCTTTAATATGGCTTCATTGATAAGCATTTTGACCAGCACAACTGATTCCAGACTATTTGGTGAAATCATCCTAGTTGGAAATAAATCATGACTGTTTTGGAGAAAAATGAGGTATGTATTCTATGCAGTATGATCATAGTCATCTACACACAAGGAAAGAAAGATTAAGGGCTCCTATGACCAGACTACACAGTCTCGAAAATTTCCACTAAAGGATGCTGTTATAGAAAGCCAGGTTCACCAATCAGGAAATGGAACCCACACAGTGTAGGTAACAGATGATTAGCTATCACATATTAAAACAAAAGCTTAATACTAATAAAAATTTTAAGTAAAATCTTCTGACAACCAAGACTGTGTTTATTACTCTAAGAATACTAAACTTAAAGTTATAGCTTTTACCCTAAGCATAGCTAATATTCTTTTCTGTACCACTTGACACAATCTGCCAGGTCTGCATCATCATTTCTAAACAACCATTACATGTTTTACATTTTCTCATCTTCCCTTCTATTAAATCTTGGTTATATCAGTTTTGTTGCTTTCTGCCTCAATTTAGTAACACTTTACCTATAACTTCAAGAAAACATATGGGCAAGAACAAGTAGGTGTACACAATTCTGATTTGCATGTAAATTTGAGGAAATTAAAGATGGTACCTTTAACTAGATGCTAAGTCCTATTTTGATACCCTGGTTTGAACTGTGAAATGCTATCAGTCTCCTATTGAACAACATTCTTTATATGCATTTTTTCATTTATGAAGATTATTTTGTAAACTAAAATACTTTTCTTTTGTTCTATACTGTAGTTCTAAATTAGTTTGTACTTATTTGTTCAACACACTGGCATTACCTAATATGGGATATTTTGTTCCAGGATCTGTGAAGAAGTAGTGAATAAGAATGATTTGATCTCTGCCTAGAGTTTTTATCTAGTGGAGACTATAAATATAAAAAAAATCATAAAGTTATTTAATTATAAGGATATGTGCTGTCAAAAATTCATATTTGCTATTTAAGTTTTCCTTCGCTTCAAAATTTTTCTTCAAGGGAAGAAGCTTAAACACAAAGTTTATTTTTAAAATGGAATCAGAGGAGTGCAATGCCTAGCAAAGTAAGTTTCTCTTTCATGGAGAAATCATTATGCAAATGGGAAAAAAAAAACTCTAAGGAAAATAACATTGTTTTCAGAAATTCTTATTAAAATCATGAAAGTAAGGAAGAAAAATGTCTTTTCCACCATAATCACTCAGGATCTTGAGAGCTATAAAGCACTTTTTTCAGTCCTATCAGAAATAGATCACTAGGACCAGAGCCGATGAGGTAGACTGGCATGAAAGTTCTCCTTAGCTTGGCTGCCCCATACTGGAAAGCCACAAATTTAACCAATCAGGTCTTTTTTCTTAGAAAGTTTATAAATTATATGGAAGGAGTGAAACCGTAGCAGGATGGAAACCAAAGGCAGAGAGAAGGCATCAATTAGTTGAAAAGGAGGAGAGAGAAGTACAAAGAAATTTGTCTGTAGTAGCAGTGGTAGAAGGATCAGAGGTAAGAGGTAAGCAACTGAGCTACTTCTGGGCATGAGATGCCAACAATAAATTTATGCTGTTAAATGACTTTTCTGAACCTCTGCAAAATCTGTTGAGATTTATTTGTATGGCAACTAGCTTTTTAGCTGTTCTTGCTTCTCTACTTATCTTTACAATGTACCTTGCATTATTTAAAATGGCTCAATTGCCTCTTGGCTACCTGAATCTAAAATTGCTTGACAGAGTAGCCAAGCTGTATCCAGGCTGTTGAATCTGGTAAACACACCCAGCAGCACAATAAATGTCTAGGCCAGGCCAGCATTCCACTTCCACACTGCACCTCATGTTGTTTAGCTCACCGGGTTTCCCAAGCTTCTTTGCTAGGCTCTCTTCTGACTCTGTCGCTTGGCAGCTTTTTACTGGTTTTCACCTGAACAATGTCAAGTTTCACATTCACAAGCTACTCTTGCAAGGGCATGACTTCCATCTCTTTTTCTAGGAGACTGCACATTTCCAGGCTTAAGAGGCCAGCTGAAGGTAAGCTCATCTTGACAAGGGAGTGTGACTGGCTGCACAATAAAAAAGTTGAAATAGGCTGGGCATGGTGGTACATTCGTAATCCCAGCACTTGGGCAGGAGAGGCAGGAGGATTGCCACAAGTTGGAGGCCACCCTAAACTACATGGTGAGACCTTATCTCAAAAACACAAAAAATCCTTTTCTCGTATTTATTCCTTTCCCTTCTTTCGTTTCTCCTCCCCCTCCCCCTTCCATTTTGGACCTTTTCTTCCTATTTCACATTATCTATTATATATTTTGATCCTTAAACTTTAACTTTCTCACATCAGAGAAAGTCTTTGCAAATAGGGAAGGGTGGAGGGGTGGAAGGGAGGGTAAAGGAATGAGGGAAAAATAAGAGCCAAGATATATTATATAAAGGTACAAATTCCCAATGATAAATGTCATCACACTGTATACCTAAAATGTACCAATAAACTTAATGAATTAAAAAAAATCAAAACCAAAACCAAAACAACCCAAAAACACCCCCCCCCAAAAGGAGGTTGAAATAAAATAAGTAGGTATGACTTCTGTTTTAGATATGCTTACTATGTATATCTAACATGAGGCCTACAATATGAATTTTGTAAAGCTCTACAAGTTATTTATATGTTTCACCTGGGCTTTAAAAAAGCCCAGAGAATTGCCAGGCTATTGCTAAATGACAACTACTTCTTAGAAAAAAGGACAAACTTGAAAACTATTCATATTGTATCAAAAATAGTGCTGTCAAATATAACACTATCATGAAAAACTAATAAAAGCTGGCTTTTTTTCTTTTCTTGGTCACTATTTTGCTACGTCAGAGAAAAATCTATGTAGGAAATACCGTTGAAGTACAATTACATGGTAGGTAATACCAGGAACACTAGTCTGCCCTTTACCTTTCCTCACCTCCTGACCACCAACCATAGAGGTTTTGAGGAGCTAATGACAGTTCCTGGTGCAGTTTATCTTTTTTACAAAAATAGGGACAAAACTTTTCCTTTGACATATTTTGAGTGCTACAGACTGAAATGAGTTAATATTAAGTGTTTTTTTTAAAAAAAAAATCCTTGCTAAAAGGCTTAAAAATACAAAGTATTTCCATTTGGCTTCATTTAGAGATTCCATACAGATCACAGGTACATCAAACTAAGATATGTCAGACAGAACCAGGATTCTCAATCCCAAGGTAGGAAAAAAGGAAAAGTAAAAAAGCTTAATCTTTTCTTGGGTATGAATTAATCTGATTAATTTGTTCATTTTATAATTTCAAAACCAAAATTGGGTGGCTAAAATCAAGAATAAAGTGAAAACACTGAGGACTTCATTGGCCTTTCTTATTATTCTTGTTGTCCCCACAATTGGTGTTTTTAAAAATTCATTTATACTGTAGGCTACATTTAAGGCAGATGATCCCCACAACTCAGATCTGATATCCACACTCCTTCCATTCTCTTAGCACATTCATTTATTTATTTTGGTACCAGGGATCGAACTCAGGTCCTTGCGCTTGCGCAGCAGGCAGCGAAACCACTGAGCTAAATCCCCAGCCCAAGCACATTTATTTTTAATGAGTGTGGGAAGAAAACAATCTGAAATGTATCTCCAGCCATGTGAGAAAACAGTGGGGTGAGGCTGAAGATTCTTGTTCTTCAACTATAATTCCATAGTCAGATCACCTCTCCATGTAATATTTTTTCTGTTCCTTCAGATAAAGCTAATACTGTATTGCTCCTATGGTCTATGTAGAAACATTCTCTTAAGACGCCCACTATTCACATGAAGAAGGTAAGGTATCATGAAATTTTATTTTTTATCAATACATCATTGCTTCTACTACCTCAGCAGAAAGGCTCTTTAAAAAGTTAGAAGTTTGCAGAATTCAAAAGGTGACACTGAGAGTAGATTACATGAAAAAACAATCTTGCACATAAAGTAAAAATTATGACAAATAGAAATTAGGTTAAGTACATAAAGCTTAGAACTCATTTCGTTATGTCTCTAAAATGAACATGATATCCTACTTGGGAACACAATGTCTCTTATACCTCCTTTGCAGAGGCTACTATGCCTAACACATGGTAGGTGCTCAAAGAATGGCTTAACAGAATTTAAAATTGCATGGCTAATTAGGTACTTTACATAAATCTTTAATTATATGTTAACTATTGGAATTTTGTAGTTAAAAAAGAAAAAATTCACATTAGTATAAAGATATTACCTATAAGGATAGCCGTGGTACTTGGAACGAAATATTGAAAGTAGAAAACTGAAGAAGAAGACCACTAGGCCTAATCCCACTAGGCAAATTACTAGAAAGAAAAAGAAAATACCATTAGTCTCTAAAAACATGCAAATGGCAATTCAAATATTTATTTTTTTAAAAATGTATTCAATTACAAAATACTTACATTTAATAGTTCATGGCACATATAGGTACAACAAACCAGATAATCCACAATACAATTCATTACTTTCCATATTCTTCTCAATGAATATGTACTATTTAGGATATGAAAACAACACAGTGACTGATCTAAGTCTTCTAGTGGTTTTCTTCTCTTATATAGTTCCCACAAGTACTAAAATGCTCCAGAGGGATCAAAGTGAAACAAAATAGGTGATAAACCACAAGCAAGATTATCAGCCCCTCCATTAGGAAGCACTGGCTGTAACAGCAGGAACATTTGCAAACTAGAGTGGTAAATATAATTTTATTCTTTTCCAAATGCCATGCAATATTCAGAAAGAAATATAATTTGAAGTTATTAGTTAGATTATTGCTGCAGTAAAAGCATGTTACCTAGAAAGAGCTCATCCTTGTGTATAGAAGACTAGGCATAAAAGCTTGGAGAGTAAGAAAATATGCTCTCAGCAAGAGCCAGAGGCAGGAAAACCCCATTCTGCAGTAGGTAATACTGGTAGCACTGCAGCTGTTTTAGAAAAGAACAAAGGGCACAGGCTACAGTAGTATGTGCTGGGGTCCAGGTTTTCAGTATTATTGTCTCAGGAAAGATGACAATTGGAAAATTATTTTTTTTAATTTCCTGTCTATTATGGTTGTGAAGATGGCACTCCAGAGTAGACAAGTAATAAACTAATAGATTTCTTTTGCATATGTGTTTTAGATATTTAATTATATAATAAGATTCATTGTTAGTAAACATGCTAATAAGATTTAAATGTTTAAAAATCTGAGCCAATTAAATGTAGCTATCTTTGGAATGAAAAAAACAAATACATTGAATACATTTTCTTGAAATCTGTTCTATAAAATTAGATATTAGGATTACTGGTCAATAGGTAATATTTAAACATTGTTTAAAAATAAAACATTTGGGCAATATTTATTTCCTTTAATTTCAGGTAATCCTAAAAAAACTTAAAATATCTGAAAGTTTTATTTAAAAAGGATAAAGGATTAAAAATAACAAAGCAGAAGATGAGGAAAATCAGATCTATATACTTCTATAATGATGAAATATGATTTTAAATTTTTTTCTAGCATAATGAAACTAGGGTTAATTAGAATCCTGAAAGTAAGGGGCAGAGAAGGCTTGGCACTCTCAAAACAGGGTCTACTAGCCAGTTGATTTCCATTCAACTCTGGAGGAGAGTCACTCCCTAAATTTTGAGCACAAATTATGGAACTTCATAAGCTTTTAATAATAGCATATAAATGCAGCCTTTGTGATATTTTATTTTAGACAACACTCATACAGTTGAATTTCCTATGAATATTAGCTGAAAAGGTAAAAAATGAGTTTCTGAATGTCACTAAATAAAAAAATCTTTAAAAAGTCTTATACAATATCCAAGCATGACAAAAACCAGGCCTTAAGGTATCGCATATTAACAACTCCTGGCAACAATCTCACTAAACCTAGAATTAATTCTACAATGTTTTACTTTTTAACTTCTCGGATGGTATTTTAGCAAATCTTTCTTCTTTTCCTGTATGTCACCTTTCTTTATTTATCAGAAGAGGCATAAAGCACTCTTTTCACTCCCTTGACAGAAGTCGATATCCTCACTGAATCGGGCTCAACGGGAAATGAAGCTCAAAGTGTATAAAGTAAAACAGAATTTATTTGTTGATTTTATGCAGTGGAACAAAGACTTCTACTAAGTACTTGCATGGGTAATAGAAAAGGACTAAATACAGTGAGGGGTTAGCAATTACAAACAAACCAGAGCAGCCCATAAACCCACAACGAGGTAACAATCTGTAAGGAGAAAATGCCATGGTGAGATGGAGGCACTTTGACCCGGGCAGCATTAAACATCATGGCATGTCAAAATCAGAAATCATATCAGAATAAAAAAGAAATAATTCAAAAATATATTTCCCTGCTCACTTATATGCATGTGTATGCCCCTCACCCCAATTTGGAGGTGAGTGGGAGTAGGAGTTATGATACAGACATCTCTCAAGTCAGAAATAGTAATTTTATAAACTCAATATTACAGACATCACCAGATTAAGTTATTACTAAATATTACTATTTCTTACCTTTATATGACAGAATCTAGGATAAATATATGAACACGTTAAGTGTATGTCCTCATATGCATGATTTATAAATCCCGAGAAAATCACATTGTTTACTCCAAAGACTACACCATGCAATGATGTTTAACAACAGTGAACTATTAAACAAGGCAATGTACTCATTTCTTCAACAGTTCCTTTACAATGTACAGATAGTACCATGGAAAAAGAGGGCCCTCTTGACTGCACATTACTTCCAAACATTTCAGCACATAACAATTTTAAGTTTTCAGAAATCACTACGATTCATTTACCTACACATCATACTAAATAAAAATCTCATAAGGAGAGCTGCATGTGTTCACATATGCCTGTAATCCCAGCACTCAGAAGGGTGAGGCAGGTGGATGGCACCAAATGGTTCTACACAGTGAGTTCAAGGCCAGTCTGAACTACATAACAAGACCCTGTCTCGAAAAAACCAAAACTGAAATATCCCAAAAAGAAAATGTCTGTCTTTTTATTTTAAATATCTTAAATTATTAGTCATTTTATGTATAAATTTGGGGTGTTAAAAAGAGTTCAGAAATGTGAAGCGTATTGAGAAAAAATTTAATTATAGGTTTGTAGATGTATAATAATAAAATCATATAGGGACTTGATATTAATTAAAGGTCTGTAGCAGAAAATATTGATACCAAGATCCTCTGTCTTCTCCAAACCTATGTTCCTTGAGCCAGAAGATATTTTCCACGTATTCTTTTTGCTGCCAAAAGTTGTTACTTCAGGAAACTAAATTTTTTCTCTCAACCCTGAGAGGAACTATTCCATCAAAGGATAGCATTAACTTGCTTTAAAAAAATTGTAAATCTTAGTGTATCAATGGAAAAAACAAAACTCCTAGAAAATATAGCATCAGGTAATGCTCCCTGTTAAAAATATGGATAAAAGACAGTCTTGGAGGGGCCTGGAAGACAATGTAGTATTTGAGTATCACAGAAGACCCTACTGGGTCAGGCTTCTAGTTCATACCTGATTCTCATAGCATACAGGACATATAATGTGCCAGAAAAATCTCTGAAGATTCTGTCTAGTAAATTCTCTCTCTTCTCTGCAGGGTGGATACTACAACAAAGATCATGACTTCAGCAGAAGGGATCAGAGCATCCCTAACAAGAGTGGTGACAGCTCTCCCTTTATGTAATTACATAGAAAATCACCTTAATCCAACTTTGGAAGAAATGCATTTTTAAGTATGTTTACGCATACATACATCCAAGTAGGAGAAAAAAGTAAAAACAAACAGAAACAACTTGACCTTCTTTAAATCAGAAAACTTCATTAGAAGTTTATGTTTACGAAAGGTTTTTTCTATATTTCCTATTTGACTTAAATGAATTTTAAGATTAAAACAAAATGAAACACCAACACAGAGACTTACTCCGTCTTTTTCCAACATCTCCTTTGGAAGTTGCTGCCTCATTTAGAAGAACCATCCCCATGGTGATAGCAGCATCTACAGTAGTTGTCAAGGAAACCATAGAAATAGATGCAAATAAAATCTATAATTCTCCGGATCTGAATACAATGTTCCAGAATGGTTAAAACAGAAAGGCAAGCAGAGGTAAATGCAATTGCTTCTCTTTAAATTACATAAAATTACCATTTTTTTGTATGCCTTAATTTTTTAAATGTGTAATCTGGAATTTCAATTTTAATTCTAAATGCTTTTCAATTCCAGAACTTTCACAATGCATATGAATTGCATACACTGTCATAAAACCAGTTGTAGCACTTCACATTATACATAAAAATAGATATTACTTATAGGCACAGTGACACATTTCATTGGCAATCATAGAAAATTAGAATGTATTCAGTAACTTTTTTTCCTTTTCATTTTCAGTGTGTTTCTCTGTGAGTGCATGCGTATTTACATACCTTTCTTTTTCTTGAAATTTAAATGTGTTTTTTCATAGATTATTTTATTTGTTTAAATTTTTACTAAGGTCATGTGTCATCGCACTTAGAAAATTTGAGTATTCCGTTATAATCCATACACAATTAAAGAAATACATTATAATCAGTCAACAATTAAATCTGACAACTGTTAAACTGTCAACTGTTTGACAATGTAAAAATGAAAACACAAAAGTAACATAAAAATTATGTACTGCAAATGTGTACCAATGAAAAAAATTGAGAAAAAATTCCTTCTGTACTTAATGTCTCCATTATGAGTGGATTTATTCAGGCCATTCTGAAAGATGCTGGGGATTAAGAAGATGATGGGAGCTCTTCAACTTGATAAGATTATTCCTTGCCATTTTATTAAATTTCTTTTTTACTTTCTGTGAAGATTTTAGAATCCACCAAGTCTGGAAATATTTTTATGTATTCTGCCCAAATGGCTAATGGACTGAAAAAAATGAAGAGAAAGAATAAAATAATTCTAGCCTACAAATTCCTCACTTAGCTTAATTCTATTGTGATTTTCTTGTTCACATTTCTATTGTTACATATGTGCAAATGGTATCAATAAGTCTGCACAGGATGTCTCCTCGAAGTCTGCACAGGACACATCTCCTCCACCCCTAACAGCAACAGCCCGAAGGATATTGCTGGCTATGTGCACATAAGTAAGTGGAAGCAGTCAAAGTTCTACAGAGTAAATATTTCTAAGAGGGAGTTTTCATAATTATATTATGGAACTTCTGGTTTTTAGTTAAGTAATAATTATAATTATTGATAGATTTCCCTCCGATTTAGGGTGGCTGATGTATATAATAGCTACCTTCTGCCCAACATGCCCCACTCCCCCCAAAAGAGTAACCTAATACTTGCTCTCTTCCTAACAGCTAGTGACATCACAGGCTCCTCCAGTCCCTAGCCACTACCTCACTACCTCACTACCTACCCCAGATCCTATAAGAAGTGCTCCCTGCCCTGGCCATATTGCTTTTGTCTCTCCTTTTTTCAGAGACAGCCCGGCAGATCATCCCTGCAATAAAGGCTTGTTGTGGCCTGGTCTGGTCTTGGTTTTCCACTTTTTTTACCTGACAATTATAATACGTATATTTGAGTCTATTTGCAAGACATATACTACAATTTCTAGATAATAAAAAACACCCATATAATAATAAATGACTAGACCCCTCTAGTTAGGCATTTATGCTTACACCCACCCCTTACACAAATAGTGTCCCTACTACAGCACTTATTACTACTGAAACCTTTTCTGGCAAGTAACAAAGAAGAAAAACCCTTGCTTGGAAGCCTAATATATACAAGACAAAAAGCTTCATGTAATGCTGCTCCTCCCCACCACATGCACTCATATACAGCGGTGCCTTGATTCATGAACATTTTTATTTGTGCACAATTTGGTTCACAAACAGAAGCATCTGGCAAGATTTTTTTGTTGTTTGTCAACTCTGCATCCAGCGATGAATATGACCCTGGCCATCTCTTCTAGAGTCATGGAATGAAATAAGTTTGTGAACTAAGGTACCAGTTACCAACACTTAATGTTTAGAGATTTATAATGCACAATTTGAAAACCACTAAAATTTGGATAATTACCGACTTTTTGAGTTTCAATCACAGAGCAATGGATATTCAATCACATAGGAACCACATAAAAAAAGAACAATGCCCCACCCAGGGTGCTGGAGCTGAACTCAGGAACTTCATACTAGGTACATCTCTAGCCTCTGTATTATTTAATTTTGAGATAAAGTTTTCCTAAGTTGCCTAGTTGCCAAGGTTGGACTCAAACTTGCAACTGTCTTTTGAACTGGTGTGAGAATATCTGGTCTGTAGACTTTGAGGATTTAATACTCAAGTGTTTTGGACCATCTTCCCATATACAGTCCCCTAAATCCAAAATCACTGGGAATTGATAATAGTAAATGACAGAAAACATTTAAAATTTATACACTAAAAGTGCTCATGTGTCAGGGATTCAATTAACTTATTTTTCAGCAGAGAAATGTGACGAATGTTGACTCCTAACAAGCAGTTATTGTTTTTCCCTTTTAATCTTTTTATTTTGCAACACCAATTTATATTCATACATAAATTTTAAACTATACATTTAAATATATATTTAATTTGATAATTTTTGCAGAATTCTAGAGTACTTTATAAAAGATGTCTGCAAAATTTTAAAAGGCATTTAAAATTCACATACATAGGTATTTTGAAACATTCACTTAAAGATTCTATCTAATAAGTAGGTTCCTCTATTCCATTAATGAAACTGGGGAAAATGAGACTATTTCTATTATTGAGGAAAATAGATTATAAAATTAAATGTTTGACAATTTTAATGAGTATAAAGCTATAGAAGTATTTTCAGTGTCATATTTTACACATAAATACACATGTACACAAATATATGTACGTGTTTATAAACATACTAAATGTAACATGATTTCAGTGAAAAGTATTTTAGCTAAATTACATTTTATTGGACATAACTTACATGTATCTTCATTCTGGTTTTACTACTCTCCCTCTAAATTGTTATATTACAATGCTGAAAACTGAGCAATCTGGTTCTCATCTGAACTGCTTTGGATTTCACACAATATCATAAAAGAAAATTATGTTTAAGATTTCCTAGGCTTATAACACATCTCATTGCATTGTCTTGCTGATAACATTTAAATTGTTCCCAAATTTTTGCTATTACAAATAGTTATTTCCCTTCTAGGTATCTTCTCAGAGAGTAAAAGATATCATATTACAGTTATACATGAATATCTATGGTTATAGCAACACAATTCATAATAGTTAAATCTTACAAGTGGTCTGTATGTTCAGCAGATGAATGGATAAAGAAAATGTGGTATTTATACACACCATGGAGTACTACTCTGGCATAAATAAACATAAATTACAGTTATCTGTAGGGAACTTTGAAGACCATAATATTCAGTGAAATAAATAAGACACATGAAGTTAAATATGCCATGATTCCTTATATGAGAAATCCAAAATAATAAAGAGCAAAATAAAATACAGATAGTACAAAATAGAGGTAGATCTTCTGTAAATGGTAGAGGATCAAGAGATGGAGAGAATGGGTAAAGAAGGGAGGAGAAAGGGTTAAAAAAAGAATTAAGATGTGTTACATACATGTACCTACTTCCCATGATGAATGTAATCATTATGTACTGTTAACATATACTAATAAAAAATAAACTGAAAAAACAAACATATTTCTGTGGAGAGTAACTTTGTATAGTTCTCCTAGTATATACATACAATAGTTTTCCAAAGGTCTACATCTAGAGATAGAATTCCTGAGGCATGAGTATATATATTTTAAAATTTACTAGATATTATCTAAAATGAGCAATGTAAGTTTTAATTTTCCTTACATTTTGTTAACATAGTACTATTAGACTATTAATTTTATCAAGTTTGTATGTAGGAAGGAGTATTAATAACTCCTTTTTGAGTATGAATGTCCTTTAATATGACTTCTTCAGTTTTTAATTTTCAGATTGCTTATTTTCTTTTGCCCATTTAAGTACATCTCCATTCTCATTATTTACATGACTTCATCATCATTTTTCTCAATAAAAATTGATTGTAGTGTTACATGCAGGTTTTCCTTTTTCTAGGTTTTTCTTCTAACAGTCTGAAAATAAGTCAGGAAACATCTCACTCTAATAGTTTTGCATTTCACTCTGAGTAAAATACAAGAACCTCAAAATGAATGCAAGATTCTTTATGATTTGTACCTCAAACTACTGTCTATACTAACTACCCTGTCCTTATTTGCTCTTACTCTTGCCCTTGCTATTTGTCCAACAAGCCAGGATCTTTGAACTTGTTATTCCCACTGCCCAAATGCTCTTCCTTGAATGTCCTTGCAGCTCACTCCCTTCACTCTATCAGGTTTCTGTTCCCTCCATTCTATCAGGTTTCTGTTCCCTTCACTCTATCAGGTTTCTGTTCAAATGAGCTTATTAGAAAAGCCTTCTTTTACCTCTGTCTTAGTCAGTTTGCTAATCGCTGAGGGACAAAACTTGATAGTCACCACATAAGGGAAGAGAGCTTTCTTCTGGCTCCTGTTTTCAGTCCTGTTTTCAGGCAGCAGCAGTCCATGGCAAGAAGGCACCGGAGAAGGGCATAATGGAGGAAGAGCTGCTTGAGTCCTGGTGCCAAGAAGGGAGGAGCCAGGGAAGGAGATGTACCCTTACAGGTCGCGCCTCAGTGACCAGGCTCCACCTCCTAAAGCCAGGGCAGCTATATTGTCCCCAGTGATTCAGTCACCTTTTCTTTTTTTTTTTTTTTGCACTTTATTAAATTCTTTTATTGGTACATTGTAGGTATACAACACAATTACATTTCTCATTGGGAATTGTACCTTTACATGATGCATCTTGGTTCTTACTTTTTCCCCATTCCTAGCCCTCTCTTCACCCCCTCCACCCTTTCCTATTTACAAAGACTTTATCTCTATTTTTTCCATTTCTCATCATTTTTCCTTTCCCTTCTTTC